TGTCATTGCGACTTGAGGTTGAGGTTCAAATACTGGATGTTAGTTCGGGTGTCAGAGATCTCAGAATTCAAGGCGTTTTCTTGTGTGGTTTGGAGGACAGTTGTTGAGGGGACTCAGGGCAGCAAGCTCGGCGGAATGTCCTTGATAGCTTCTTGTCGGTCAGGCTGCGTTTGAGGTCCGTGGCATAAGACCGAGCATCATGATCTGTGTCACCAAGTCCCGGATGTCAACCGGTATTCTGAAACCTTGAACTCAGGAGCTTCTTTCTCGTCCAGCAGATCACATTCCGCTTGTAGCAGGGTCTGGAGCTTCCTGAGTTCATTCGCAGCAATCCGAATTCGAATTCGTTTTTGACTCCACTCCCCTTTCCGGGCTTTGCCACTTTGACAGGTCGACTGCGGAGCAGACCTTCCGGCATTTGACAATCCGTAAGACAGTTGCTGCGGGAAAAATCTACCAGGCCAGCTGTGGGCTGAAAGCCCAGAGGTTGAAGGAATCTTGGTCAGAGCAGCAGGAATAGGAACAGGCAGAGGGATAGCGGTGGAATAGCAGTTCGATATGGTCGTTGATGGTGGCACTGCTCCCAGCCCACCATCCCGAATTTGATGTGGAATTCGGCCGCGAACCGGTCCTGAAGAGCCGCAGATGCCCAACAGCCGTCACAGGAGCCGAGCAAAGCCGACCGGCGCTTCTCCAAGGACACACGGAGCCTGGCACGCCCCTTTCGGATGACAGGTGCAGGATTCCAGGATTCGAAACAAATTGGGCGGATCGGTTTCCCAGTTCCATACGGGGCTACTTGATCGGCGGTGTCACCCATGTAAGTCATTATACGTCACTTTATATCAACAGCCGTCAGGCTTGCCTAGCAGGAAAGTTAAAGGGGTGACAGGATGCAGGTGGCGATCTCCACCCGCTATCGTGTGGTGTTACCGGCTTACCGCAGAACACGCTTCCCCATAGATTCCATCCTTCGCTGCTGCTGGACCAATTTTTGGGCACCCGGTGAAACACAGCAGCACCAGGTCACAAAAGTGCGCAGTGCGCATGCAATGGTGGATAGAGACCAGCCCGCAAGGGGGACCGTCAGTTGGAGCTCAACTCAGAATGGGCCGACTGATGTCGGCAACCGCTATCGCTCCGACAACAAGCGAGCATGTTCTCAGCCTTCAACCCGAGGCTCTTTTCAGAGAAGAGCCAAGACTTGAGCTTGTGTACACAACCGATGGTTCGGGCGCCATGTTTCATGATGTGGGTTTGAAGCAGGATTTTGGGTAGCCGCTCTGCCAGGACCCCGAGGGGAAGAATTTCCTCGTAGGTCCCATGGAGATATCGATGTTGATCGAGATGCCACCTGGTTAGCGCTTAGGCAAAGAAAGCTTTGTGACTTGTCCTCCCCCTTTTTCCATCTCTCCTCATCAAGGCTGCATGCAAACGAGAAAATGAAGACTCGCTTCACGAGCCCGTTGGAGATGATGACTTGCATGGCCTCTTGGCCGAGGGTTCTGTGGGTTGCCAACTTTGTCCTGACACCCGAGCTCTTGAGGTCCAGCACGCCCGTGTTCACGGTCGCTTGTGGGATGAAGACCAGCCTCCCTCTGGCGCGGCCGGCGACCCCCCGGCAGTTTGCCAGGTTCAGTGCAAGTGCTCTTGACTTTTTCGGGCTCCACCAGGGCTTAGAATCTTAGAACCTGATAGCGTGCTGAAGGCATCCTAGCATCAATGCTGCATGAATCCTCAAGCCTGCAGGCACTCTAGGACTCTAGCAGTAGGCTGGGCCCACCGTGGAAAAGCCCAGTGGACTCCGAGCTGCTGTGCAGCCCGGGATCGCTCGCAGTCTCTCAGGCGACGAACCCATAGCTGCGGCCGCCAAGGCAGCGACTGATGCCGGTTGATGTGCAGTCTGCATATTCGCATATGCATGCTCCAAGAGCGGAAGCTTGCAACTATGTTTATGTATCCATTCCGACTAAATGCTTGCATCTGGGCCTCGAGCTATGTAACTGTATGGTCTGGCCAGTTGTGCAATCAACAAGAGGTGGAACCTTGACATTCGACTGTTAACAGCACATGCACAAATGGGGCAGGCCGCTTACATGCTAAGCCGAAAAGCGGTCTAGCTCGGCCGCCTCTGTCCTGCTCTGTCATGTTAAATTTCAGCAGAGCTCCGCTAGAATCGCATGGTGCTAGCTCGCGAGGCCCTTTGCCCCAGAGAGGTTACAGGTTGCAAGTACTGTACATGTTTTGAGGCATACAGGTCCTGGCGCCATCACCCTTTCACCATGGTCTTTATCCCACACCTGCGAAGCAGGGGGTGCACCTAGCTCTCCGGTCCCAAAAACGCGTGGGAGCTGGATGGCGGCGCCAAGCAAACGTGGTTCATCAACTCGAGATGTCATGGCCGCGCAAAAATGGAAGTTGCATGTTCAGCGGGGGCGGGAGAAAGACATGTTCGTTGATAACATCAACGGCTCGGCTCACAAGCACAAATCGGTCTTTCAGTGGCACGATGGGGTTCTTTGCACCACAGAACGGTGGACCACGGTGATCAGCGATTAGCGAGGACGATTTCAAGTTCTGTCACATGTTCTGCCGCTGTCCAGCCTGACCATGGATGCTGGTGTCGGGAACTTGCGGCCGCACGTTGGTACAGGATTGCACGGCCTGAGCAAATATGTTTTGCATCGCAGCATCCGTGATTGCGGCGAAACACCAGTCAGGCCACGATTGCTTGTCTGCGACACTGCATGCAGAACTGGACCCGCTACAGCAGCAGCAGATCAACCAGGCACTCGGGAAGGGGCACGGAGCGGCGCACTTTGCTTGTCTTGCTGAAGTTGTTGAACGACGCCCCGTTGGCTTTGAGAGATGCCGAGGTGCTACAGCCAAGACCTGGCTTGCGGAAGCGGGCCGAGGTGGCTTTGGCCTGAATCTCAGATCTTTCGGTCTTCAGAAAGCCCAGGGATTTTGCATCCGCGGGTTGGTTCCAGCTTGCACCATGCTTCGCTCGAGTATTCAGGGACGGCGATTCCCAAAAGGGATCAAAACGACCTTGCTGCTTTCGGTTGCGCAGGGCGGTATGGGATTTAGACTCGATGTAACGGGCTGCGACCTGAGTTCCCACTTCAACAAAAGCACAATGTGAGAGAGTTGTGCCAGCAATTCACTGCTGGGCAGAATTTGTGGCAGGTCAAGAAGCTTCAGAGTTTCAAGGAGATGTAGAGATATGTGGAGTACAGGATTTCGAGGATTTTGTCCTACCGCCTGCAGAGACGTCTTAAGTCCTATCTCTGAACCCTCAGTGCATCGTCTCGAAAGTCACGCTGCAAACGGAAAGGCTACTCTGCCCGTGTCTTGAGGCATTGACCGTGGAGGACAGCCATCGTGCCGCCGCAACTGAGTCAGCGATTTTTTTATCAATCACCTTCAATGTAGGGTCTTCCTGGAATGAGGTGCCATGGATAATGCATGCACAGCCTGCAGTCCTTTCAAGTCGTTCGTGAGCATATTCCAGATCGTCAGCGCTGTGATTGTATCAGCTTTAGGTGGTTCAAGCCTAAACAACCTGGAAGTTGAACTCTAACTGGTGCTGGACTACAGCGGACCCTCTCTCCAAGCTTGCACCCGAGACGTAATTTCCCTGCAGGAGCACCGAAAGTTGGCGCTCGAGTCGTTGACGCTGGGTACAACCTAGACATGACGGTAAGCCATTGCCTCGAGCATACTTTGACATCGGCCGCGACCGCGGCGCTTTGTTGGTCTGGAATTCAGAGCAGACTTCGTAGAGCTGACAGCTACAGCTAGGGCGGTCGCTAGGCCTCAAGTCTGCTCCGCCTCGCCAGGAAGACGACGCCACGGCGACCAGAAGAAACTGTTCGATTGCAGAGCTGAGCTTCAAGGCAGACCGGTGTCAACAGACACGCACTTCGATGGCGATGGTGGCCAGTGTGTCTTGTATTACTGCGGGGCTCCCATTTAAGTGCTTGCACCAACCTTGCAGCTAGAGAAATCCGACGGGGCATCAGAGTGAGCTGCACATGTCCTGCCGTTGTACTGAATTGCATCAGGTTCCGGAAGGGAGTTGTGAACTCATCGTTCGACTGATACTCTGTGTGTGTGTGTGTGACAACCCTGTATCCAAGGGCCTTCTCCTCACGCTCTGCAGCCATTTCCTATTTACGATTTACATATAACTGAACTTGAGTGCAGAGTACACAGCAGGGGGCACAGGCCCATGGTGGTACCTGTGCCAACGAAGCTATCAACCATGGGGGAAACGGAGTCTGATCAACTCCGTGTACCTGCACAACGAACGTATTTGGTATCTAGCATCCTCGCTGTGCATTGGTTATACTTTATTCGTGATGAAATCTTCTGGATGGCCTGGGGCCAAGCCAAGAACCCCATTCTGAACTCCGTCAGTGCTTGCGTGACATCCTGGCATACAGTACTTGCAGTGCTTGCTTGCGCGGGGATAGAGGTTTCGGCCCTTTGTGGTTTAGTCAGGTTGCAGGTCTAGGTGGCACACTTTGAGCCGTTCAGCTTCGACTTTACTGCGCATGAAGATACGTGTTCAAAGTTGCTGGTGCATGGTCGCCCAAGACCTGGGCATCAGGTGGTCCTTCGCATACAGAAACCTCTCTTAGCATTCAGTGTGTAGTCCTCCGGGACGGTGGTGTATGCCTCGGTGCTGCACTCAGATCCTCCAAGTGCGGAGGCGCCAAATTCAGTGTCAGCGCTTAGATCAGTTCAATGAGGAGAGCAGTGAAGCCACATGGCCTAACCGCCTCTCATGGCACCCACAAATTCGGCTCCATGCCTACCAAAACGCGATTGCAGCTAAAGCGGCTTCAAGCACTCATACCCAAGGACTCAGGCAGGAAGAGTTTTGACCGTAACGTTCTAGTGGCTTTTCCCTGTAGTAGTTGTTGTTGTAGGCTGTGCATTGCTTGTCTGCATTCGCCATGCCTCCTCGTCCCCGTCCATCCTGTGCACCTGGA